AATTGGACGTTTCTGCAGAGGCCTGAACCCTTGACTAAAAACTCAACTTTTAGGACAAAATAAACAAAATTTCCAGAATCTTCGCACTGATTTAAAAACAATCCCGTCCGTCTTCTTCTATAAGGCAAATCAAACAATCAACAGATTTGGGTACAGCTCGATTTGACGCAAAACCACAAATGTGTGCAGAATTGTTTTACATCCCAGACCGCCTTTTTTTTTTTTTTTGCAGAAAAAAAAGGCTCCGTTTGGTTTGATTCCGTCTCTTTTGTCCAAAAACGGCGGAGAGTTTCGTCGTCCTCCATTATCCCACAATGCACCTGTAAATAAAAAAAAGCAAATACAAAATGAACTTAAATTCATCTGAAAATGACACATTTTCACACTTCAACGTCTACAAATATCTGTCCAGGTGTCACTTATTTCCCACACACACACGCCTTAATTTCCATTTGCGGGTCGCTTTTTAAAAAAAATGCCGCAAATCTAAAGAGGCAGCTGCGGAACGCCGGAAAAAAAACTGCGCGGGAGATCCTTAAGTCACAAACCTTCCCGGAGGCTCTGAGTCCGGCCGAACCGACACCACCTGAATGGGTCTGATCTCTCCCCGTCCGGTTCTTTTCCTCTGACTTTAAGGATTAAAGGCGCTCCAGCCAAACAAATGAGGGAATCTGCCTTCAGTACAAGAGGATTGGGATGACAGGGAGGAGGGGGGGGGGATTATTGACGTCACCAGGCAAACAGATGTTTCTCTATATTACCCAGCGTCCTCTTCATCACCGGCGTCCTTGAAGCCAAAAAAAAAAAAAAAAAAGAGGAGAGGACGAACACCTTCTTCCCACACAGCCACTGTTTCTGCTGAGATGTGTTCAGAATTCTGCTGCGGCGTCAAGAAAGTCTCCGCGTCCGCGTGTTTGTGCGCGCGCAACCGGCAGAGGAAATGCCAACAATGGTGCCGCAAATTGCCATGTTCCAAAATGAATTAAAAAAATGGGTTCCGGCTGCGAACGGTTATGCAACATCACACTATTGGACCAAAAAAATGGAGGAGGAAGAGGGAAGAACGTGAAGCAACACTTACACAAATGCAGGCTGACTTGGGCATGCGTACACGCGCTCTCTCGCTTCACACCTCACAGTGAGGAAGCAGCGGATGCAAATGCTGCATTCGGCTCGGTGTGACAGGTGACGGATGTGCCTGAAAACTCAGTGACAGTCAATCAGACAGGAGCTGAGGTTMTGTCACAGCTGTGAAGAGACGTGCTTCTCATGTTTATTAAGAAACAAAGATCTGTGACCTGATGATGAACAGATGTTCTATAAAATTATGACTCAATGAAGGAAAATTTTAAATAAATGTCTTTTAAAGTACGCGATCTGATCATCTGAGCTTGACACGAGCTCCTGAACGCACCACAGCTGGACGCCTTGCTTCATCAACTTTTGCGGTTAAAGTGCAAAAAAAAAAAAAAAAAAAAAACCTGCGCAGCGGAGATGTAGAGGCGCAGACTGCAACGCATTGCCCCACTCGATGGAGCAGAGGGGAGATATGGAAACAGAAACAAAGAGGGGGGTGGAGGGGGGTTGTGG